CCAGAGCAAATGAACTTTTTGCCAAAACGAATAATAACTCTATTATCAAACGTAGCCGAAAAACCGTTCATAAACAACTTAGAAACTGAAATCAAATTCTTTCTAAAACTGGGAACATAAAGACAATCTTTCAAAACTAGAAACCTATCTAAGCCAAAATCTAAATAGACGTCTCCCACTGCAACTGCTGACGCTCTACTAGCATCGCCCAAGTAGATGGTAACTTCTCATTCCCTAAGTCGCTTGGTTTCCTGGAACCCTTGCAATGAATTGCAGACATGATCAGTGGCTCCCGTATCTACACACCATGTACTGGTAGATAACACCGCTAAACATGTTTCGACAACTAAAGCAAAAGGATTACCTTTTTCTGGTTTCTTAGGAAGAGGGCAGTTTGCCTTCCAGTGTCCTTTCTGCTGACAGTTGTAGCACTTGCCTTTCGGCTTCCTTGCCTTTTGTCGAGGTTGCGCGTCACCTATGACCGCATTGCCCTTTCCTGCGGACTTCCTCCTCTTCTTGCCCTTAGGAGCCTTAGAAGTGGAAGCTTCTCCCCGCTAGGCCACCATAGCTTGGGTCTTCTGACGAAACAGGCCCTCTGCTGACTGAAGTTCCCCAACAAGTTCCGGAAGAGTCATCAACATCTTATTCATGTTGTAATTCAACCGGAATTGTTCGAAGCTCTTCGACAAAGACTGGAGCACTATATCGACCTGGGTTTCCCCATCAATAAAAGCCCCAAGAACCTCCAGCTCATTCAGCTGGGCCATCATTGCAATAACATGTTCCCTTACGGGAGTGCCCTCGCGCATGGTCATGTTCATCAGAACCCTCATGGCCTCTCGTCGGGCAGCCCGCGACTGATGACCAAATAACTCCTTGAGATTGAGTAGCATATCCGCTGCAGTGTTCATAGACTGATGTTGATGTTGAAGTACATTTGACAAAGATGCCAAGCTGTAACACTTCGCCATCTCGTCAGCCTTTTTTTACTGGGCATACTCCTCTTTCTCTTGGTCTGGTCCATTGTCAGCAGGCACAGCCGGACAAGCCTCAACAGTTGCAAATTTATACCCTTCAGCAGTTAACACTATATACAAGTTCCTTTTCCAGTCAATATAATTGGGACCAACAAGTTTGTTTTCTTTGAGACTTACGGACAACGGATTGAAAGACATTTTGAATTCCTGGGATCATGCAAACATTGTC